TCCACTAATTTCTCAAAAAAATGCTTCTTTAGCTCTTAATTTTAGTTTTTTATGTATTTAGATGGTTTAAACAATCTTTTGAACACTTTTACAACCACGTTCATAAATAGTTTCTAAGAAATAACTAGGGAAACCTTATATTTTATTACTAAATTTTAAAAATTTTAAATTTTAAATTTTATTTTTAATTAAAAAACAAATAAAAAAATAAAATAAAAAAATAAACCGGCGCCTAGGCGCTAGGCGCCCCCTTGGCGCCTAGGGGGCGCCTAGCGTGTTTTGCAACATTGCTCTAAACAAATTGGAGACGTTTTAGCATTGTCATTTGATGTATTTAATTGAATTTATAATATTTTTCATGTGTTTAGAAGTTTGGGCCCGTAGCGTTTACTTCACGAAACTGTTTTTTGCTTTCTGTTTTCTAATTTTTCAATTTTTTTTCTTGTTTTTATTTTTTTTATTTTTTTTATTTTTTTAATTCTGATCTCTGTTTTCTGTTTATATATAGAACTTATTTACTAACACTCATTTTTTCAATTTTATTTTTTGTAGACTAACGTTATGAAATTAACACAATAAATATATTTAAAATAAAATATTTTAGGATTTTTAGTTCTTATATTTAAAATATTTTAGGATATAGTTGGTTTAAATGAAATAAATATAATATTTACTTTTAAAGCTAATATATTAAGATTTTTACATTTGATATCCAAACTAAATTTATATTCGTATATAACATAACTAAAAACACATCCTAACCAATAACCTATTAAATTTATCTAAAATTTAGTTTAGATATTATTATTATTTTTTGAGTTAATATTTAAAATATTTTTGAATATATTCATTTGAATTGTGGCGATTTTGTTTTTAAGAACGATGGTCAATGATGGTCAGCTCTGGTCAATGATGATTTGCTTCTTAATTTTACCGGTGATTTAATAGTTACATGTAAATTGAACTTATTTGACCAATTTTTATAAGTTAGAGTGTTTAATTGTAACTTTTAAAATTTTAAAAATATAATTACTTTATTATGTGAAATTCAAGGACTTATTTGATTTTTTTTTCTTATTATTATCATAAGTAAGAGAAATAACTATTTTCTTCAAGTGTCTCCCTCTCGCTTTAAATAATAATAATAATAAATTTTTAATTATAAAATACTCACTCAGTCAAAAGGTATCGACAATTATTGAAATCATGTGCTAAATTTAAGGGTCTTTTTTATTATTAGTCAAAAGCAAACAAATTTCTGTAATGTTGTCTCCATCGTTATGAGAAGACTCGGCGCTTCTTGGATTGAATTCGCTGAATAGAGACGTGCATAATCAAGAGGATACTTAACACGCAAATGACGCAATGCATGAAAAGAACGATAAAAAATAAAAATAACATGAGGGAATGCGTATAAAGAAAATAAATGTGCAGTGAAATCAACTTCAATAATCGAGTTGGTTAAACAATTAGTTTGATAAGTACAATACATGTGAGCTGATTGTTAACCTTCTTAATATGATCATCTGATCTTTTGTCAACTAATTTCACGATGTAAACTTTCTCATAATTCAGTACTAATAGACTTGTCAATTCATCTTACTTAATACATGACGAATCACACCCGACCCCATCATAAAATAATATAAATTAATTTCTTAATTTTTCAGACAAAACTTAACTTATTAATTAACTTAAAATAAAATTATAAGATTTGTCATGAGAATTGTAACATAATGGTGGTTACTAGGATTGAGTAATATAAGCGTGATGCAATGCTTATGTGCTTCATTTATCATTTTTCTTGATTCTGGTTTTCAAATTATTAGCCAATTTGCATGTACGTTTTCTACGAGTTGTTGGGGCAACCCTTTCAAAACGATATTAAAACTATATATAGTACCAAAAAAAATAGATAATATGACTGTTCTAATATGCCATGGGGCACCCGCCACCCGGCCTTTATATATAAGTGAATTATATTCTATCATGATGTTTGTGACAATATTATAATAGATAATTATAATATAATATAAAGAAGGGAAATTTGCAAATTTCGTCCCCAAATTATAGGGTAATTGTAGAATTTGTTTTTGAGTGTTGGTCATGCTCATTTTTTGTCCCTAAGTTATCATTGGCGTTGCATTTTTTGTCCCTGAGTTAGACTAATTGTAGAATTCACCCCTGCGTGTTGATCATGCTCACTTTTTGTCCCTAAATTATCATTGGCGTTGCACTTTCGTCCTTGAGTTATACTAAAATTACAAATTTTGTCCTTAATCACTACTACATAAATGGTATACTATGTCACTTAATAGACAAAGGTTTTTTAAATAACCATTCTCTAATATATTTTGTTATACTACGTCACTTAATAGACGGCGATTTTTTTTTAAAATAATTGCCATATATACCATCATTATATTAATTTTGTTATGTCATACACTTTAAATAACCACCGACAGTTTTTTTTACACATAAACGCCGTTTTTTGAAGTGTCACGCGTGTAAGCGACTGTCGTTGTAAATATACACTTTCTACGGCGATTTGGAAACCACCATGTATGTTAACTATATACTGCAGTTATTTAAACAACCACCGTTTATTAAGTGACGTAGTATAATACAATATATTAGACGGTGGTTATTTAAAAAACCGTCGTCTATTAAGTAACATAGTATACCATTTATGTGGTAATGATTAGGGACGAAATTTGCAATTTTAGTATTACTCATGGACGGAAAGTGCGACGTCAATGATAACTAATTAGGGAAGAAAAGTGAACATGATCAACACTTAGGGACGAATCTTACAATTACCTGATAACTTATGAGCGAAAAGTGCAACGCCAATAATAATTTAGGGACAAAAAGTGAGTATGACCAACACTTAGAAACGAATTTTATAATTACTCTATAACTTAGGAACGAAAAATTTAATTTTTCTCTATAAACTATAAAGAGTTATTTTCATAATTATATCAATTGGATCGGAGCATGTCTTTAACATTTTAAAAGGAGTAATTTAAAATATTGAATGATTGATCCACTTTAACGTACATTAATGTTTTCTGGCCAAAAAAAAAAATCATAAATAACCATTTGAAAAATGCTATATGGTTAAGATGATACAATTTGTATGCCATATTTTAGTTATTTTAATTTGCGTGCTTGGGATTTAGGAACAAACAACATCTTTGGTTCGTAGAAAAAAATTGAAATAGCATTTTTTAGCCATCAATTATTCTAAATTGTCACATCTAGTCAATTATATATATATATATATATATATATATATATATATATATATATATAGTTGCCTAATTATATCGACTTTCATTTACTTGGCGAGCATAATCATCCATTTAAATTTATGTAATTTCATTGAGTAACATTGAAAACCAAAAATCTTACCCCAACATGTAATTTATTTTATTTTCTTATAACCTCTTTTCAATTAAATGATAAGTTACATGTTAACCATCATTATCTAAAATCTAAAAACATAATAAGTGTCAATACAAGTTATGTCCTTGATTTTTGTTCCTTTTTTATATGCTAATAAATATATACATTTTGCTTTAATTGTTGTACATTCATTTGCATTGGACAAAATCACCCTTACACCGTTATAACACCGTTAGTTTTTAATATATCTACCAATCTTACCATACACCTACATCTATCATATCTTTTTCCTATTTTTAATTATCATTTTATTAAAATTATCATATAACAATTAATTTAATTATAAATTATATTTTAATTAAATATTTATATGAATGTTAAATTATATATGTGTATCATATATATATATATATATATATATATATATATATATATATATTATTTGTGTATCCATATCAATATATCATATATGTGAGTCTTAGCTTAGTATTATTTGTAAATTATTATTATATAAAAATATAATTTATTATTATTATTTTTTTGTTTTGATTACTATATTATTCAAAAATATGATAATTCAAAAGTATCATCACTTTAAGAAATTGCAAAACATAATTTTAACTAATTTTTTAAATTTTGTTACTTACAAATATTTTAATATTGGGCATAAGTTTTCGCGCATCGCGCGTACAAAATGCTAGTTAAATAAATAAATAGTGAATGATAGAAATTTAAACAAATGACTAATGGTGACAAATAATTGAAAGTCAAGAATATAATAAAATAAAATTAAAATAATAATCACAAGGTTTTCAAGTGGTCTATTGGTCTTCTTGGTTTGATTCAATCAACTATCGGTAATCTAGTCTGACTTATTTCTTTTGTTGTCCTTTGTCAATTAAGGTTACAAGACAAGATTTACCTAGTACACACTCTCTGGTAGTAGTTACGGATTTCCATCGTCATTTAAAAAAAAAAAAATCAAAGAAATAAGACTAGATGTGGTAATTTCATAATAGTTGAGAACTAAAAAGGAATTTGCTATAGGTTGTTGAAAACAATTAGTATAAAGTATCAAATATTTCAACATAATAAATATATGTGAAGGTAATATAGGAAACCATGTTATTGTTCTTTTTTGTTTTATTTTGTTACTTATATGGCTTGCAAGTGTGCAATTGACTTTTTTTTTTATTTGTTATTTTATTATTATTATATTTATAATATAAAATGCAAGTTGAATTAGTTTTGAAATTGAGAAAGTATTGCATGGATGTAAAAAAAAAAAAAAAAAAAAAGTAAAGAATTTTTAAATTTAATGATGTGAAAGTAGATTCTTATCCCAAATACTGTCTACTAAACTATTGCGTTAAGTCCGTGCAGGTTGTGAAAGTGGATTCTATTTTTAAGAGTGAGAGAGTATTCAAGGGACAAAGATAACGAGAATATTTTTTTTAAAAAAAAAAAGCCTAAAAACAAAGACAAGATAAAGCGTTTTTTTTTTTTATTTCATAATAATTTAATAGGTAAGTGAATAGTGATGATGATTAGCAATATAGTCTGCCGTTTTATCTGACTTTCTTCTAAAAATTCTCAATTTATGAAAATCTTCTTGCCATCTCAACAACTCCACCTTTCTCCTCATTTCTCTCTCTCTCTCTGAAACTCTCTCCCTTCACATTCTTCATTCATGGGGAGAATTACAAACCTACGAGATCTCATCGGAGTCGTGAAAGATAAAGCCTCCCAATCCAAACTCGCCTTAGTGTCGAAACCCAGCACTCTGTCTCTCCGCCTGGCAGTCCTGCGCGTCACCGCCCACTCGCCAAACGCGCCGCCAGATGACCGCTACCTCTCATCTCTCCTCTCCCTCGGTGACAACTCACGCGCCATCGCCTCCACCCTCATCTGTGCTCTCATGGACCGCCTCCACCGCACCGGGGACTCCATCGTCGCCCTGAAGTGCCTCCTCACAATCCACCACGTCATCAAACGCGGGCCCTTCATCCTCCAAGACCAGCTCTCCATCTTCCCCGCCGCCGGCGGCCGCAACTACCTCAAACTCTCCGCCTTCCGCGACGGCGCCACCGCCTCCTCCTGGATGCTCTCCGCCTGGGTCCGATTCTACGCGCGCTACCTCGAGACTTTACTCTTCGCTTCACGGGTATCGGGCTACTTCCTCTGCTCATCTTCTTGCAGCGCCGCCAAAGATAAACAGATGGAAAAGCTCACATCGCTCATGAACTCGGATTTAATCAGAGACGTTAATTCATTGATCGGATTGATGGAAGAGATGTGCAAAGCACCCGATTCCCTCCTCTTGGAAGGTAACAAATTGTTGTACGAGGTTGTCGGATTATTATCCAACGATTATATGTCCTTAACCAACGAGTTATTACCGAGACTCGGCGAGTTGAAGGAGAGACTCGGCCGCTTAAGCTTCGCCGACTCGGTCGAGTTGGGTTGTGATTTGAAGAGACTCGAAGATTGTAAAGAGAGATTATCCGGTCTGTTCACCGTGGCAAAGCCGCCGGTTCAGAATCTGTGGAGTTTGGTTCAAAACTTGAGAGAAAGAATTGAGATTTGTAGAGATGGGAGATTGCTGACTTTTGGGACGACGGAAAGCAAGTCGGCTCGGTTCGACCACCGAGTCTCCAAATTCTGCAACTCGGTCCGGTTTTCTTCCGGAAAGTATGATCAAATCAACAAGTTTGCTCTTGTAGTTGTGGAACCATGATCACAATTACATGTGGAAATATTTTTGTTCCAAAAAATTTAAATTTCTAACTCCAAGGGCACCACGATCTGGTCGGTCTAAGAGAACATTGAGAGGATACTGTGAAACAAGAAAGTTAAAAAGGACATTTATATAGAATATAATAGGATAACATAGCATATGTTATTTTAATTGGTACGAAATCATTGAAACCAGTAGATATTACATTTTTTTAGGTAAATATGTTAAGTTTGTTTTTTTTTTTTTTTTTTTTTTTTTAGGTAAATATGTTAAGTTTGTTTTTTTTTTTTTTTTTTTTTTTTTTTTTTTTTTTGAGTTCTCTCTATTTATTTGATTGGTTTGTATGATACTCTCATTTGTCTTGTTTGTAGTATTTAATTTTTGTAATAATGTTTAATATATAAACAAAGTTTTGTTGTAATAAAATTGTAAGGATGAAAAAAATAATAATGAATGTGTTGGCTTGAATTGAGCAAAGGGCGAATATTGGACCGTTACGTTACATTGGCATATAGGGAAAAGTTAATAAAGAGCAGAGTTGGTGGACCACAAAAGCTCCGTCAGTGGAGCAGACTCTTTCCCCCAAGAAGGTGGAAGATTGTGTTGTATCCAATCCGACAAAGGGACAAATTAAAGGTGTTTTACCGTTGTGGAATACCGTTGAAACACACAAACAAACTATAAACACACCCACTTGAGGAAAATGTGAATTTACTTTTTTTTTTTAGGAAAATGTGAATCTACTTAAACATTATATGTTACAATAAATTAGCACCAGCAATATAATCCCTTGTACAAGTTTTAATCATTGCTTGCCTAGCTGCATGCTGGACAACTTAATTTCAAAGTTACGACTAAATTTATCCTTAACATTGCTATTCAATATAATGATCCTAAACTTTGTAGTCGAGTGATTTTAATTTAATTAATATAATAATAATTGATGGAGTAATAGGAAATGATTCCAGCTCAACGATTCAACAATCAAAGAAATTTATTAGATTTCAATTTTAACACCTCAATAAACGGACCAAACTCAGAAATATAAAATAACAAAATTATTGAACCATATCTAAGCACGTTTGTAATGTCATCGCAGTGAGAATCTTGGAGTAGAAATAAGAGAATGTAATGCAAAGATATCAAGGCATGCCGCTCGTATTATGCTACATTTTGCATACCTATTAGAGCATGTTTGGTTAACGGAATGAATTTTGAGAGAATATGAATGTTATTTCATAGGGGATGGAATAAGTAATGAATAGAACATGAATTATATTCTATTGTTTGGTTCGATAAAGAAATAGACTTTATGAAGCTATTCCAGTGTTTGGTTGGTTTAAGAAATAGAAATGGAATGTATTTTTAAAAGACATAAATAGTTAATTAAATACCCCTGTACAAAATATATAAATAATAATAATAATAATGATTATTATTATTATTACATAATATATATATATATATATATATATATATATATATATATATATATATATATATATTACGACCCTGTTTGGTAAAAAATTGGTCTATAGGTTAATTTTGACTTATTTGACCACTATTAATTGTTTGATTTAGTTAAAATATTATAAGTGTTTGGTTAATTAGCTTTTTGCAACTCCAAAATGCTAAAATTCAAAAAAGCTACTCCAAGCAACTTTTTCAATTAGTTTTTTAAGAAAAGAAATTATATCAAACAGCTATCAGCTAACAGCTAATTTACCAAATACTTTTCTACAACAGCTAATGTTATCAATTAATTATACCATCTAATTAACACAATCAGCTAACAGTTATCAGCCAAAAACCATTTACCAAACAGGGCCTACATCTTTTGTTGGGAATTGCAATGACACGATGGTCACTTTGATTTTTATATTACTTATTCCATTTCAATCCAAATACCTACCAAACACTTACATTGTAATAGCAATTACTTTGCAATGTAATTCTTTGACTAGTGAAACTACATTGTTTTGTTGGGGGAATTACAATTCTGTCCTTTATTGGAATTGGAATTCATACACTCCCCATGAGAATCCCAATTCAACAGCAGCGGGGAAAAGAAAAGGTAGGAAAATGATTAAATTGCCTTTGATTATTATTATTATTATATAAAGACATTTTAATCTTCATATGACTTCTTCTATTCACATTCCAAATAATTCTATTTCTTCTTACCAACTAATATAAATTCAATTCATATTTTATTTCCACATTATTCTTTTTCCTTAAAATCACAATTAGGGTGTGTTTGGAAACCTGGAAAATGAGTTCTGAAAATCATTTTCCAAGTTTCCAGTGTTTGGATATGCCTGGAAAATCAAGTCAACGGAAATCATTTTTCGTTGACTTTGGAAAATAGGCTTGTTTTGGAGGAAAATGACTTCCCTTTTTTTGGGGGGGAAGTCATTTTCCAACTTTTACACCAACATCACACCACCACCAACATCATCAACACCATACCACCATCACCACCACTATTGCCGCCGCCACCACCACTATACCCCCGCCACCATCACACCACCACCACAACCACCACAAATACCGCAACCACTACCACCACCACCACCACCATACCACCGCCACCATCGCCGCCGCCACCACCACCACACCACCGCTGCCGCCACCACCACCACCATACCACCGCAACCACCGTCGCCGCCACCACTACCACCATACCACCGTCGCCGCCATCACCACCATACCACCGCAACCACCGCCACCATACCACCGCAACCACCGTCGCCGCCACCACCACCATACCACTACAACCACTGTCGCCGCTACCACCGCCACCACCACCATACCACCACAACCACCATCGCCGCCACCACTACCACCATACCACCGCCACCGCCATCACCACCATACCACCGCCACCACCACCACACCACCGCCATCACACCGCCACCACCGTCGCCGCCACCACCACCATACCACCGCCGCCGCCACCACCACCATACCACCGCAACCACCGTCGCCGCCACCACCACCACCACCATCGCAACCACACGACCACTGCCACCACCGTCATACTACCACCACCATCACACCAACACCACTACCGTCGTCGCCGCCACCATACTACCGCAACCACCGTCGCCGCTGCCACCATCATACCACCGCAACCACCGCCACCACCATCACACCGCCGCCGCGCCACCTCCACGACCATACCACCGCAACCACCACCGTCGCCACCACCACCATACCACCGCCACCACACCACCACCGTCATACCACCACCAATTATTATTATTATTATTATTATTATTATTATTATTATTATTATTATTATTATTATTATTATTATTATTATTATTATTATAACGAATAACACCACTACCACTACACCACCACCACCACCATAATATTTTTGATATGTTATTAGTTTTTTTTTTTTTTTGAAAAACATAGCTATTTTTTATTATATTTAAAATTAATATTATATTATTATATATTATTATACATGTTGTAATATTTTAAATAAAATAATTAAAATGTTTAATTATACAATTCTACTCATTTTTCAGAAAATGAACCAAACACAGAAAAACAGTTTTCCATAATGCAACCAAACACTGGAAAGGAAAATGTTTTCCAAAAAATGACTCATTTTCCAGAAAACATTTTCCAAAAGTCATTTTCCTGCTTTCCAAACGGACCCTTAATTCCTCATAATTTCCTCCTCCAAACAAATCAGATGTGTAGGTGAGTACTTAAATGCATCCTGCGTTTCTTGAAGAGTACGACGATTACTACTTAAGGTATCACCTAATTAATTAGCGCAATTTGATCGATCGCACCAGCAGGTATCCATGTTATTTGGTACATATATAGCTGCATGTTTCACTGTATTCTTAACCATAATTGATAGTCCCAACCGTTTCTTGGTCGTTTCAGCATCCTCTTCAAAGATTCATTATTATTGGATGGCATCTTCTCAAATACATTTTATAAGCATTAATAATTATTGTCACATTCACTGAAATTTGTAAATGACTTGCAAATCAAGAAATCAAGAAGTTTCACCAAGAAAAGATAGTTTACGAATTAATACGTACATTTTAAATAATGATGAAGGTTACTAAAAGTGTTTTATTCAATTGAAATAAAATTTTATTTTGTTTAAGTATAATATTGTAAGAAGTTTATGAGAGAGGACTAGAAATTTCAATTTGGGACAAGAAGTTTGAATGATTGAATTACATATTTCGTCATCTTTATTAATGGTTGAATGATAAAATTTTAATTTTAAATAAACAATTAATTATGACAATCAAATAAAAGTCAAGAATGTAATGTGACAAAATTTTAAAAAAGATTAAATGTGACAATATTACAATAATCGAATGCTGCCCAATTTTGATTTTAATTTAATTGGTAGTTTCAACTAGCAATTATTTTAATTAAGGAGGAAGGTTTATTCATAAAGACAAGGATGTACAAAATCTAAAGCAAAATAACTTGCAAATCTTTACATTTCCCCTCAAGAAAACACGTAATCTTACAGATAAAAGAACGGGGCAGGTTGGTTTGCAAGTTATTCTAGAGATTCCAGGGATCACAGACGGATTGCAGCCGATAGTGTAGTGTAGATCAGCCATGCTTTATTTAATGCACGTTTTTTTTTTTCTGTATAAAAAATAAAAAGTAATAAAAATAATTTTTTTTTCTATCTACTAATATGTACTAAATATATAATAACTATATCTAATATATACTTATATACTAATTAATATTCCTGCATTCCGTTTAGGGACGAAGCTAGAAAATTTTGTGAGTGGGGACGAAGTTTAAATAACGTTAGAAATGTCAATTACAAAATATCAAACAGTCATAATAAGATTAAAATACAAAATACATTATAAATTACAATAGAATGTTTTTGATACATTACATGATATATAGTTAGAGTCGGAGCCAAAAGTATACTTAAGTGGGGTGACAATGTGAAAATATTTATGACAACATATGAAACGTAATAAATTAGATAAAATAATTTTAATAATACTATATTCATAAATACGTTTTAATTTTTTTTTAGTTAGATCAACTTTAAGTTTTTCAAAATTAATTCGAATACAATGAAGTATAATATAAACTTGTATATTACACATTAATTGAATGATTCATAAAAAGTAGACTAAAAGAATATTTACTTTATTAATTAAATGATTTATAAAAGTAGACTAAACAAATATTTATCTTGGGAAGGAATGAAAAGAGATAAAATAAACATGTGAAGATAAGAAAAATGTTGTTAATGAGATTTGAACCTTGACCGCTTTCTTAACATAAAAAAGTAAAATTTAACCAACTAAGCTACTCAAACTATCAACAATTTAAACATAAATATTTATTTTATATAATATCTAATGCTATATATATATATATATATATATATATATATATATATATATATATATATATATATATATATATATAAAGGGGTGGGTGGGCTGTGTGGGGGCTGCTACCCCCACTGCCCCCACGTACACTAGCTTCGTCCCTAATTCCGTCGTTATAAACTTTAATAACGGAATATTCCGTTAACTATTTATTATTCTTAACTAACTCATTGATTTTCATAAGGAAAGTATAAGGTTCGAACCCCATCCCAATAAGAGTTAGCATAATTGTTAAACATATACTATTAATATGTTATTAGAGTGTGTCAGAAAAAAAACATACGATATAAAATTTAACATGAACTTTGGTCAATTAATTAGTCAACCTATATACATAGCATTCAAAGTTGAGCATCAAATATTACAAATAATAACCTTGAAAATCATTTTATTGCATTTTTTAAAACAAATCTAGGTTAATTTTTTATTTTCCGTTTTATTAATCTTCTTTTGATGGTTTAGAACAAGACTAAATATTTTATTTATACTTTTGCATTAAGGTCTATCATTTACGATTTAGATTTAAAATTTAGCTTTTGATTTAATTTTATAAAATGACCAAGTCACACATTTAGTTGTTAAAGGTTGCATATTTAAATCTAACAGATCTATCGAAATTTTACAGATATAAGGTTGGGATTGATTTTTATTTCTCTCCTATGGCACCAATCCAAAGAGCAACGCACTCGCAAATGACGTTAATTAACTGTCTCTCGGGCTTAAGATTGGACGCTAGGTCCGACTCACTCCTAAAGACCTTGGTTGGTTCCGAAGATGATAGTGTCTACTTAGGTGTCTCTAGTGCCAGTCAAACCACTCATGTTCCTAGGATGGGGAACTGACACGCGCGAACCAGATCAACCCCCGCCATGTCGGCTAAGGCGTTCTTGCGCGTGCGAAGAACATTCGTTTTGTGACTCGGTCATTTCGACATATCTCAGGTTTGATTGCATAAAGGGAAATGGTAAAACAAGTAGAAACTAGGAACGCGTGCTTTTCATAGCGTTCCCTACAGGTGATGCCAATGACGATTTTGTCAGAACCCGGTCTACCATAAACCGAGTTTGGAAGTACAGAATGAGGGTACAAAAATACAATAAGCTAATATCAATAAGCTACTTAAATTAGCTTTACACTTATTAGGAAAAATGGTCAAATAGACCCCTAAACTTTACACCAAAAGTCAATTAGACACCTAAACTTTTAAAAAGTGCAATTAAACCCCAAACATGTTAAATTGAGGAAATGAAGCTCAAGACCGAGTAAGTGACCTGTTATTACAAATCATTTCAGTTCAGGCGAATCAGTCAATTCATTAATATTTAAAAATAAAATGAAAATAAATATTCAATAGTTATAGCTAGCATTTCCCAGATATAAGCGAATGAATTGAGAGGCGTTTGGTTCAGGTTATATAACATAACCAAGGGAATGTGACATTTCAAAGTTCACATTCCGGTGTTCGGTTCATATTATCTTAGGGAATCTAATATTCCCAAGGAATGTCACATTCCCAAGGAATGTCACATTCCCTCCACATAGGATTTTGAAGGGAATGTGATTCCCTTCAAAATCTTATGTAATGTAAGATAATCTTGGTTATGGTAGTTTATTTTATATATATATATATATATATATATATATATATATAATTATTTTTGTAATTATATATATATTATTTTTATTATGTTATGTTAGCTTATAAAATAATTTTGTTTCTCAAGTTCAAGATTTTAGTTAATATTTTAAAATCATTATTCCAAAATGCTGAACCCCAACCCTAAGGGCCCCCCACACCCCGGCCCGACAGAGCATTTGGGAGGATGTAAATCATGGTGACTCTACTGAACATGAACCACAGAGGCTAGACCGGTGATACCGTTATCTTATTTATTTATTTTAATTTTTAAATTTATTAAAATATATAAAAATATGTTAAGGATATTATAGTGTGTATAAAAGATAACCCTAAACCAAACATCATTATATTACATACTCCAATTTTAACCAAACACAGGAATCTAACATTCTCAGTAATCTAACATCCCAGCAATCTAACATTCCCTAAGGTAATCTTAATTCTGTGAACCAAACGACAAGCTTATGGTTTCACATGATCCCACTTCTCCACATGCGTATTTGCTTTCCGTGCCTGCATTTCAACACTCACATTTAATATTGGTATCAAAATAGTACAATCACATTCAATTCCTAGCTTCTAAAACCAAAAAAAAAAAAAAAAAAAAAAAAAACAAAAATGAAACTCAACTGCATTTAAAAAATTTGTTACCTCATTATCCCAGTCAGTTCGAATGGTAATTACAGCCAATACCAGTGTTTGAACTGCAGTCCCGCCAATCATTCCACTCCATACTCCCTGCAAAACCAAACCGCAACGTGAGACTAGATGTTCAAACCTTGTACAAATGCATAAGAACTAAAAAATATAACGTCGAATTCAACTAAAAGATTAAACAGATAAGCAACATATAATACCATGACTCCTTTATTGAAAACCCATCCCAATATAAGTCCAAAAGGAACTCCAAGCAGATAGTAACACCCTAGGTTTATGTACGCCACATAAGCTTGCCATCCCGAACCAACCGCAACTCCTACAAATTAAATCCCATATATGTTTAATACAATGAATCCCTCAAAATGTGAAAAAGAATTTAATATAATTAATGGTAACCTGAAAGAATTGGTTGGACACTGTTGAGGAGAATGGTGAAAGCTAAGAGAAGAGAGAGTTTGTGAACTTCATCCAAGATAGGTTGGCTGGAGGTGAAGATGAGGGAAAGTTGATTGTGTAAAAAAATGATTATCACCCAGAACACTATTCCAATCCCTATGGATTCCATCACTGATACTATGGATGCAAACCTCGCTGCCTTTCCATTTCCTGCTCCTAGCTCATTTGCAACCCTTACTCTTTACACACCAAACACAAATATAAACCCAATATAATTTAAGTAATATTTCCAATACTAATAATCAACTATGATAAAAGTAAGATGAAACATATATATGGACATGCTTATTATGTCACAACTGTATATATGCTGGTGCCTATAGTTTTACTGTCTGTTTAAATTTTTAATTGGATTCTAAAAATTTAACAACTAGATGTTTAGGGTAGACCACCACATTCAATGTTTTCAAAGATAAATAAACATCACCTCATATAAAGTAGCAACAATAATTTAGTGTGACGGTGAAATACGATATTATATTATCGAAGCAATAACTTAACTACAAATAATAGCAGTAACATTTTTAATAGGCTAAAGTCTCAAAATTTCAAGGCAAAAACCACTTGACCGGCTGTACGTCTGAAATAATAATATATCATGACTACCGGCGTTATTCTCAAAGTAGGATAGTGATATTTACAATTATATAGTAGTAAGTGATCAATTAGTGTATCGCTAAAAAAGATCTATTCAGCTGTTTTTAATTATTTGGCCTTAAATATTACACGTGAATCAGACATGCACTTTAATAGTTGGAAGAGGAGAAAAAGTCTTCTCAGTGGGTAGCATTTAATTTGCAAACTCTTAATTAGCTCTTTTTTTATGCAAATAAAATCATCTTTATATATCTTTATTTTATCTTTATATCTTTTTTACTCTAAAGTGTGAATGTATTTTGATAGAAACAAGATTAGTAAGTATGAATGCATTAATTGTATGGGTAGATGTATTTATACATATTTTTTTTGTCTTCTCCCTTATACATACTTTTTTGAAGTTATTAAGTGTATTTATATTTTATAAATTATATTTTATTATTATAACTCTATATCTATCTCTATATATATTAAAGCATAATGAAGTATGGAAAAAAGTTTATTACGTTCAAATAAATTGGTAAAGTTTTATATTTAATATAATTTGTGTACATTTAAACCTCAATTATAATTAATTTGACTCCACATATATAAAGACGAGAAATGAGATATAAAATAAATATAATTCTTACATAAATAATCTTTTTCAAATGAATAAGTTTTTGGTGGAGATTTTCGACAAATATAGCATGTTAGTTTATTTACAAGTTTTATTTAAATATTACATTGTATAGTTATACTTACATTTTTAATCAAACTAATTATGAGCTCAATAACTCAAGTACGTTTTTTCTATTTCCACAACCATTACTTTCTTTGCTAATTCAGATGAGGTTAAAAATTTAATTGGTAAATTTGTTAATTTAATAATAGTTCGTGCATCGCACGGGACAATTACTAGTTGAAATGAAAAGCAAGAAACGATATAATAATTAAGAGAAAATAATTGAAATAAGCATTACCCAGTTCCAGCAAAGAAGGCTAGAGGAATCATAAGCTCCATGGAATTGATATTCATACTGCCAAAAATTAGTAAGGACGGAAAAGACATAGTAAAATAGTACTTAACACAAGAAGATGTTGTTACAGATTACTAGACTCGATTTATATAGTTTAATCCATGAATATTGAAGAAAAATATAAAATAATAAAGTTAACTTACCAAATGGACAATGCATCCAGGGCAATTTTCGCATTATACAGATTTCCAGTCATCAGAACTAATATCCTGTAATACCAGTTCTCCAAGCTGCTCCATTTGAAGAGGTGAACAAAGAGGAAGCACCAAAATTAATATAGGTCTGATCCTAGTGTTAGACGATGTTACTCTCAATTCAATTCTTTGGGTAAAGCTACTACCCTAGAGTGTATATGCACCGGATAAATCTCGCCTTATGACCCAAAAAAGGTAAACCAGTATAGCTTAGATTAGTCATAGCTGACTGACTCAAACTAAGAAGGTTAGGATTTGAACTAGTGATCTTATGATTACAAATTTGTATTCTCAGTCATCTTGACTAAGGTTGTCCGAGTATAGTATTGTCAATTCTTGTTTCCTCCCCAATCAACTTATCTTAACAATACTTAAAATCACTTAAAAGAAAATATAATTGTGCCATGTGCAAAAGATCAGATATAGATTGTTGACTTTGTTAGTAAAAAAAAAAAAAAAGATTACCATAACATGATTCCGGAAGATATGGAGAGCTTGAAGAAAGGCCAAAGATCAGAAAAGGCTTCCATGGAGAAACCAGTCCAAGTAAGAGGACACCCGCCGGAGACGGTGTACACAAACAGCCCCACCACAATAAGCCACCAAGAAAAGGACAGCGCAAGGGCGGTGGCGATGATCCCAAGCTTCAACTGGTACACAATTAACCAGTTGATTAAAATATGCACAATTAAGGCCCCAAAACTTATCCAGGCTACCACCAAGTTCTTCAGCTGGCTCTGCAAGCACCTCTGCATAGGAAACCATGACGCGAAGGAGAATTGAAGCGGAAGGAACGCTAGCGCCACCGCCCCGGACAGCTCCGCCACGTCCTCCGGCTGCCCCAGTAGCTTCAACACCGCCGTCGCGTTCACATACAACGGAATCATCGCTATACCGACCAGCCATAGAACTACCCAACAACGTTGTAGATATATACCCAACATGTGATACCTTTTTGCGCCGTATGCTTGCCCACATAGCGTCTCTAACGCACTCGCCATCCCAAGCTTAAAACCACACACATTAAAACTGTTAATCACTTACGCCAAAAACTATAATTAGTAGCAAGGCCTAACTTTATTTAATTATAGACAGCGATCACATTTTTCAGACACTGGGTGCTAGACTTGGCCTTTAAACTCTTACCAGTCTCTGCCCAACATTTTCCAGACACTGAGTGTTAGCCTCTGACCAACAATTTCCTCACCTAACTACCCAGTGTTAGACTTGGTTTTTACCAGTCTCCGCCCAGCAAAAACATTAAAGAATTAACCTTAATGATGTTATTAGAAAGAATATAAGTTTGGGATTACCATGAGGCCGAAGTTGAAGCCGAGGATGAGGTTGGTGGTGATAGAAATAGCAGCGAGTTCAACATCGCCAATATGGCCGGCGAAAGCTTGGGTGATAACCATCATGGAATAAGAAGAGACTCGGGTGAAGATGGCGGGTCCTACTATGTGCCATAGCTTCTTCGTTTCTACCCAAATTCTTCGTGAAAGATTTGTGTCGTCGGTCGCGTGATGGGGTTCCGGATGATGTCGGTCAACCTCCGATGACGACGAGGTTAACAAAGGAACCTTATTCTCCACCGATATGACATTGCCGGACATTTCTACGTACCTCGATCTGATACTATTTAGAACTTGGAACAGGCGTACGTGAATATAGGAAAGACTTGGATCTCATTATATAATAACCTAATTCGTAAAATTAAATATTATAATTCTTAGAATAATATTGATTGTAAGTTCTTATAAGTTATAACATGTTGACAATTCAATGCCAGCTTGCTTAATTAAAAAAAATAGTTTATAGGTATATTTACAAATTACAAACAACAATTAAAATAAAATTGAACAAGTGACTTTTTAATTAGAATTTTTGCTGCTTTCTCATGGGCGTAATTAAAACATTAATTAATCATTGTATTGATTATGTAAAAATTATTGTTTGAAGTACAATGATGGTATTAAGGATGAAGTACAATGCTTCACAAAATTGTTGGAAGATGAACTTTGCTGATCAGAGTGTACACAAATTAAAGATTATTTAGTTAGTTGTACGTAATTTTAATAAGGAGATTAGGGCAGGTATAACAGTCCACTGACCCAATTCTTCACTGGCTGAGCTCAGCTGTAACTAGACCGATGTTGTCATATTTAATGTGAATCCGGTCAACATACATTCATTATATCGTGTACTATGGTCTATTTTATATTGTGTACTCCTTATTTAAAAATTATGGATTTACAATTAATATATTATGTGTTTTTAGTTAATAAATTATGTTCATGTAAATAAAATGAAAGCGCATAACGTTTTAACTACATATACATAATATGTTAATAACATAATATGGACATGCAGTTAACATATTATGTGTTTGTAGTTAACACATTATGTGCTTTCATTTTATCTGCTTGCACATAATCGGTTAACTATAGATACATAATCTGAATGTCATTTTGAATTAGCCTTTATAATGCAATATAGACACGGATTCACGGTATAATTTGCCCAATTTTAGGGTGTACGATAAATAAAGGGATAATGTCAGTTGATATAAAGTTGTTTTACATTGATGATGATTATCAATACATCATTTGTTTTAATTTTTCGCCCTCACTGTAAAAAATTTTAGGCTAGGCCCCCAAAAGTAATTCAACATTAAACATGGTATATAAAGAGATTTTTCAAAATTTGTAGGAGTCAAATATACTATGTAATCACATACATTATTATACTATTTTACAAATATTTCTCTTCTTCCTAAATTTCCATTAACTTCACTGTAACATGATATATATAAAATAATAAGTTGAAAGCTAAAAGTGTCTTTTAATTTGGTATAGGAGGATTTTTTAATAAAATTTTTTTATCCCATGACTATTGAAATATTTTCATATTTGGTCTTCGAGTATTACTTTTTCATATTTTATCCCATAATTTTTAAAACATTATCACATTTGACCATTCGGCTTAATTTTTTGTCATTGGTGACTAAATTTATATCTTTATGTTTTTAAACATGAATACATAATAATCTAGTAATTTATCCTGTAGGATAAAGTTGTCATTTTCTATGATATTTTCATCTAAAAAATATAGTTAGGATAATAAAAAATTAGGGTATGAGATCAAATGTAACAAGATTTTAAAAATCATGGATCAAATAAAAGAATGTAGTGGGTTGAAACTTAAAAGTGTTATTTGGTTGGCACAAGAGTCCAATTTCTGGCGTGAACAATGTTGATTGGCTCTTATAATATAATAATATAATAATAATAATAATAATAATAATAATTAATAGAAATTGAAATCCATTAAATGAAAGACCAATTCCTCAAAATTGGTAAATTTTCGCCATCATATATTATATGAATATATATTAACAAATGAAAATTATAAACTTTTACGAGGCGCCATGACCCACGCTTTCCCACTTCTTAACGTGGTTATTCGCCTTCTGAGCCTGCATTTCAACGTAAAAACAAAACAAAACAATACAAAATAAGTAAAACTGCCAAAAATTTATTTAAAAAAAAAAATCCATTGAAAGCATATATGCATATCCTAAATCAAGGCTTTAATTACCTCTTTTTCCCAATCACATCTTATGGTGATTATACACAAGATTATAGTTTGCACCGCGGTTCCACCAAAGATCATCCCAGCCCATATACCCTGCAGTATCCATCCGCGCACGTATTGAGTATAAAATAATAAACGTACAATTTCACTATCGATTTAATATTTGCTAATAACTTATGTAGGTACCTTGACACCTTGGTGGAAAACCCATTCCATCATAATGCCAAGAGGGACTCCAACCAAATAGTAGCACCCAAGGTTTATGTATGCTACATATGCTTGCCATCCTGATCCAACAGCCACCCCTGTAATGTTTTTTAACGTCAGCATTTCCGAACAAGCCTCCAATTCTAGTAGTCAAATGAAACTATATATATATATATATATATATATATATATATATATATATATATATATATATATATATATATATATATATATATATATATATATATATAGACACACACACACATACACACACACCTGATAGGATTGGTTGAATGCTATTGAGAAGAACGGTGGATGCTAAGAGGAATGAGAGGTCATGAACAACTTGGAGAACGGTTTGACTAGAGGAGAAAATTAGGGCAAGCTGGTTGTCGAAGGTTAGGATTAGCAGCCAGAAGAAGAGACCAATTATCATGGAGTGTGATACTGATACAAATGCGGCGAACTTTGCTCCTTTTCCATTCCCCGCTCCCAACTCATTGGCTACCCTAACACTGTACGTGTATATATATAGATGCAAGTCAAAACAATAGTACCAAAATAATGTTGCATTGCAATCATAACAATATAACATGTTGCTAATTAATGTTGTTGTTGCATTATTCATAAATATCCATGTGAATCATGCGTGTGGAACAAAGGATCAGTATATCAATTCAATTTGGACTTCAATCCTTGTACCCTCCACGTAACAAGACAACATGTCCACGTCTTTAATTAATTACATACACAATCTCAAGTTTTCATTTCATTTTAGTGTGACAAAAAGGTGGAATTACCCACTCCAGACACCCACATCCTGACCCGACAGTTTGTGGAGCTAACTAGCATCTACCAATCACCTTCTCATCACCTTATCCCGTGACACGAGCCTCTCTTGTATAGTTTATGAGACTAAGTGAACTATCAAGGAATAGCTACCACTTTTCTCGTGATACAAATACTAGATGGTTAGACTTAAAGAAAGAAATTAAAGTAGCATTAAAGGTAGGTTAGTTAGCAGGTACATACCCAGTTCCAGCGAAGAAACCAAGAGGAATCATCATTTCCCAGCCGTTAATGTTCATACTGCAAAGAGTGAAAACAGAATCATATATAGGGGGTCAGTGTCGAAAACTTTATATATTCAATTTAGTTGGCAAATATCATCATCATCATTATATATTGATGAATCGGAGTAATTAAATACGTGACAAGTCACAAGATAGTTGCTTACCATATTGACAACGCATCAATGGCAATTTTAGCATTCTCCAAATTCCCTGTCATCACTATCAAAATTCTGTAGTACCAATTTTCCAAGCTGTATGTTATATCCATTCCGTTTCAAAATAAGCCACAAAACAAAAACAAACCAGTCAGATCGAAACTAAATTTGGCCTGTTAATGTTGACCATTTGAAAAGTTAAACAGTTGTTCGTTCTTCAATTATTAGAGTCTAACCCGATGTTTGGCTGGGAGGAGAGAATTAGGTAAAAAAAAAATATATTGTAATTTGATGAGAAAAAGAATAAGGTGAAAAAAAAAAAAAAATAGCATAAGTACCATAGCATGATTCCGGATGAAACAGAGAGTTTAAAGAAGTCCCAAAGGCCAGTGAAAGCTTCCATGGAGAATCCCGGCCAGGTAAGGGGGCAGCCGCCGCAAACGGTGTAGGCAAGCAGCGCAAAGAAGATGACGGACCAAGAGAAGTTCAGGGTCAAGGCGGTGGCGATGATTCCGAGCTGGAAGCGGTAAACAATGAGCCAGCTGAGGAGAATATGCAGGATGAGAGCCACAAAACTCACCCAAGCAATCACCGAGTTCTTAAGCTGGCTCTGCAGGAACCTCTGCAACGGGAAATGAAACGCAAAGCAGAAATGCAGCGGCAGGAACGCCATCACCACCACCCCCGACAGCTCCGACACGTCCTCCGCCTGCCCCAGCGCCCTCAGCACCGGCGTCGCGAAGAAAAACAACGGCAGCATCACCACACAGCACATAAACAGAACCACCCACGACCGCTGCAGATATATCCCCAACATGTCATACCTTTTCGCCCCGAACGCTTGCCCGCACAGCGTCTCCAGGGCGCTAGCCATGCCCAGCATCAGCCCGAAGTCGAACCCCAAAACCACGTTGCAGGCGATAGACATGGCCGCCAGTTCGAGATCTCCCAGGTGGCCGGCGAATGCTTGGGTGATCACTAACATGGAGTACGAAGCAATACGGCTGAAGATAGCCGGGCCCACGATCTGCCATAGCTTCTTTGATTCAACCCAAAACCTCCCCAAAAACTTCTTCCGATCGTCGTCTTCTTCTTCTTCTTCAATGTTATTTTTGACGACCTGGGCCGATGAATAGTCTAATAACGGCACCTTATTTTCGTCCTTGCTGCCACTGCCAGACATTTTCTTAGTTCTTGATCGAGCCGGCAGGAGCAAATAAACAGAGAAGGAGAAAAGGAAGAGACGACCGAAGAGCTACTTCAATTCAGGTTGAGAAAATGATAGGGAGAGGATTCTAAATGTATGGTGAATATAATGTTTTATAGACTACTTGAACAAATTATACCATGCACTAGATCCAAAAATAATATTCAGTATTGTATTTGCTGGATAGTTTTTATATCTGTAACTATCATATTATGTGTAAACAATTATCAAATTAAATTTGACACATTATGTACTTGTCATTGATAGTTTATATACTATCTATTAGGGCATAATAGTGGTGATTTTGATGTGGTTTTTAGAAAGTTTTGTGAGTGTGATTAGGAAAGAGAAGATGAGAAGATATAAAAATAAAATAAAATTTATATCATAAAATTCTGATTTCAAAAATAAAAAAAATATCATAAACAACGCATGAAATGTCTGCACGCGCCAGCTGGGCGCACTTCTTTACTCCCACCGGGCACACGAAATAAAAGCATCTAGTATTAATTTTTGGTAGGCCCCACTTTCAAGCAAATATGGAAAATACCAACAAATTTTATTCCAAAATAAGATTAATCGGAACCCTAAAAAGGGAACCAACCTAAATGGAAGTGGGTCCAATACCATTAAACTGTGTACCATGAATATCAAGTATACTTTTAATATATTAAAAGTATATTATTTATGTACTGAAAATATATTATTTAATTGTATATATAAAATAATGTATTTTCAGGGCTTAAATAATGTACCTTCAAAAAATGTACTTTCAGTACACAAATAATGTACTTTTAGTATATTAAAATGTACTTTTTATTTGTGGTTTACACAATTGTGTGGATATGGTCTTTTGAAAATAAAAAAATACTTACAGACTAAATTATCAATATTGTTAATTAGGATGAAAAAAATTAAAATACATCAATATGAGATAAAAAAATTCAAAACAAAATATAAAATATAATTAATTAGATAAAATAATTTGAATAAAAAGTAATCCACTAAAGAAGTGTATGTATATATATAAAGAAATCGGAGCAAAGAATATGAATTTGCATTTTTTATAACAAAATATTTTTAATTTGTCCAAAAAGTTTATAGCACAAGAAATACAACCCATAAACAGGAAACTAAATCCAAAACCCAAATACGGCCCAGTCAGGGATGGACCCGGCAAATTATGCTGTGCATCCGTATGCACCATGCATGGTGCATACAGATGCAAAAACGACGTCGTTTTAATTAAACGTTCGTTTTTCCTTTAAAAAAAAAAATCAGGTTCGATTCCCAGCAACAACATATAAACTAAAATTCCATAATCGATGAACTATAATTCCAAATCGATGAACTATAATTCCATAATTGATGAACTATAATTCCATAATCTAATCTATGAACTAAAAATTTCAGAATGAATGAACTAAAATTCCATAATCTATAAACTAAAATTTCAGAATCGATGAACTACAATTCCATAATCGATGAACTATAATTCCATAATCAATGAACTATAATTCCATAATCTATGAACTAAAATTCCATAATGAATGAACAATATAATGTTGTTGCTGGGAATCGAACCTGAATTTTTTTTAAAGGGGAGACGCGCGTTTTTTAATAAAACGACGTCGTTTTGGCATCCGTATGCACCATGCATGGTGCATACGGATGCACAGCATAACTATCCGATGGACCCAAAGAAAAAAATCGACAATCGTTATGGACAAATTATGGTCCACACAATGTTATGAGGACCATAACAAAAAGTATATTTTTAATATATTAAATGTACATTATTTTTGTACTGAATGTACATTATACAATATAATGTACACTCAGAACAAAAATAATGTACATTCCGTGAATACAATGTACATTATTTTTGCATTGAATGTATATTATTTTTATACTGAATGTACATTATTTTACAGTAGATAAAATAATAGTCCACACAACTTGTGTAAACCATGGTCCACGCAATAATGATTGATCGTTAGTTATGCTGTGCATCCGTATGCACCATGCATGGTGCATATGGATGCAAAAACGACGTTGTTTTGACGTCTAAATTTAAAAAAAAAAAAAATATTCAGAATTCCATAACTACACATCCATAATTTTATAACTATACATCCAGAATTACATAACTACACACCCATAATTTCATAACTATAAATCCAGAATTGCATAACTATATCTATAACTTCATAACTATACATCCAGAATTGCATAACTACACATCCATAACTTCATAACTATAAATCTAGAATTGCATAACTACACATCCAGAATTGCATAACTATACATCCAGAATTGCATAACTTCCAGAATTTCATACGTAAAAATCCAGAATGAATGAACTAAAAAATGAATAACATAATGTTGTTAGTGGGAATAGAAACTGTTTTTTTTTTTTTCTTTTTTTTTAAGTAGGACGCACGGATGCATAGCATAATTTACCAAAATCCGAGCGGCGGCAAGATATTAAAACAAAAAAGATAGTTTGAAGTTACATAAATAGGATCATTATGTTGTGGAACCGTGCCCATCTTGTAAGGTGGGCACGGTTCCAAACAACACCGTTTTCATGTGGTTGAGTAACGGTGCCGTTAGTAGCGCCGTTATTCTCCATAATTTTTATACTGTAGATTCATAATTTCTATACTGTCGATTCAAAAAATCTATACTGTAGATTCATAATTTTAAACCGTAGATTCATAATTTAAATACAGTAGATTCATAATTTCTATACAGTAGATTTATAATTTCTATACTGCAGATTCATAACATCTGTACTGTAGATTCATAATTTCTGTACTGTAGATTCATAATTTCTAAACAGTATAGTTATCAAATTATGAACATATATGTTAACTCAAAGTGTTTTGTCAAAGTTATGTGCAAAAAGAATTCGAGTTCTATAAAGGAATATCAGATATAAGAGGAATAGCTAATGAAGAATACTAATCCTAAAGGGAATTGTTATTGAAGTTTTTCTAGTTCTAGTTTGATTAGGAATAGCTTTGTTATTCACAAATCTGTTAGGAGTAGTTACTATAAATAGGGATTATCCTTTATTGTAGAACTCAAGCATTCAACATTAATCTTGTGAGGTATGAGAGTATTTGAGAATAGGATACTAAATTTCCCTAGAAAGTAGTACATGTGTTTAGGTTCAATAGTTTGGTAGGAAAGATCATTCTATTGTGTAATCTTAGGTTACAAACAGTGTACTTCAAATATTGAGCTTTTAGTGGATTTAGGTAAATCAAATTGAGAAGTGCCTCGCAGATTAGGGTTGTTTGCCCGAACTGAGTTACAGATCGTTTGTGTTACAACGTCAATTTCAACATCATTGTGTGCTGCGCTTATATATATTTCAATATAGTTCTGTGATTTGTGAATACAGAGTTCAACAATTGGGAATATGAATAGGGATGGCAATTTCAATCTGCCTCGCGGATATCCACCCGAATCCACTTCACATTGATCGGGTTTTTTTGGGGTGATGGTGGGTGGTGGGTCAGGGGTGAGTCTTAAAAAAGTAAACCCGCAATGGGTCGGGTTGGATTCGAGTTCTTTGTACAAAACCCGCCTAGAACCCCACCTGACCCACCATGTATGTGTTTATATATATATATATATATATATATATATATATATATATATATATATATATATAATAGTAAAATAAGTATTAGTATATAGTTATTTATGAAAGTTTATATAACTTCGTGTATCATTTTACAATTTTTTATATCTAAACTACTATGCTTATTTTAAAAAATTAACAATTTAGTTATTATATTTAAATATTTCTATTATTTTATGTTTTATATTAGTATCACTAATTAATTTTATTATTTTATTATGTGTAAGTAATTTA